TGGGATGCATATAAACTAGTAAACAGTGATTTTGTGTATATACAGCTTCGTTCCAAGTGTTAGATGGGACAGAAGATATTCTTGTTGGAGAGACATTCAACATGTGCATGTTGGTTGTGGATTTTTTCCTTTCTCATATGGTTCTTCAAGAATAATTTCGGTAATACAGTCAAACACGAGTACAGTGTGTCAGGATGTAGCAGGCAGCTGGACTGTACAGGAGGCACAAATGAGGGTTCAGTGTCTTTCTCCTTGTCAGTTTAAGCTCTGCCTCTTCTATGATGTTTGGCTCTAATAACTTAACACTATTTTGTGTGTACCTCAGAAGGTGTGCTGCAACTCCATAGCAGAAGTGGAATACTGTATGAAAAAGATGTTGGAAGAGAATGCTGTCTATCATCTGGATTAGCTTTTCCATGGCCTTGTGAAACTGAGTCTTGACTGTTTCCAGCAAGGGAGATTCCACCTGGGCAACCATATTTCAATGTGTAATTGTTCTCATTGTGAAGAATATATATATGTATTTGTATAAAATTTGCCCTGGAGAAACTCAGTTCTCTGCACAGGATTTGGTGTGCTCTTTGTCACTGTGACTGAAGGGTCATTTTATAAACTACTTAGATCTGTTTGAAGAGAAGTATGTATATTATAAATTAACACATGTAATTGGAAATGCATATTTTAAATGAACATTCAGGAAATCTTTGAGAATGAAAACAGGCTTGACCATGATGTGAAATTATATCCAGGTCAGCAAAAATGCCTATTCCTAAAGCAACCAAGTTCAGTTTCATTTACTAACCATGGCAATGATGGAATGATATTGCCTTCTGTGTTACAAAGCTTTGATTCACCTGTTGATACCAATAGAAATATTAACACTGTTTTGTGGGCCTTCCTTCCTTAGCACAATGCAGACTCATTTTGTGTACATGCTCTCCTGTCAAAGGCATCATGACAGTTGTTAAATCTAAATCTGTTCTTCTGTATTGCTTTGAGTTAAGAGACATAGGCAAAGATAGAAAGAATAGAAGGGAAAGTTGAGCACTCAGGGAGAGAAATGAAAGCCATTCTGGGGAGCAGAGGATACAGAATGGGAGATTCACAGCAGCGGGGAAGAGATTTGTCTGAGGGAACAGGCAATAAAACCACATAAGAAAAGTGTGGGGAGTGGGGCAGAAGAAGAAATGGACAAAGGCAACTGTAAATTGATTCCTTGGCTTCCTGGAGATGTGCAATCTGGGTGATTAACTGCAAAATCTGTGATTTGATAGATCTGGTGCGATAGAAGAAAGATCGCATCCCACTAATGAAGAAATGCATGGTTTGATTAATTATTTTTTTTCCCCTTGTAAGTTTTGATTTTTGTCTAAATACATCACTGCCAAACTCTGCGTTCGCAGGACTAGGTCATTTTGGATGTGTAATCCTTGCCATTGCAAGGTGCTGGAAGGCACAGTGTCTTTCTAGTTATAGTGTTCCCTTTTTTTATACATTTGTGAAAGGCTAATGTGATTGCATCAACTGCAAAAGAACTGTTAAACTTGATTTTAAAATATGTCAGGAAGGAGTATTTGTTTAGAATTAGATGACATTTGATCAAAATACTGCGGGTATAGCAAGGTAGAAAATGGTTTATATTCTAGGCCTTTATAATGAGGATATGCTCCATCATATTGTAGGGGATTTTTTAACTTTACAACAGAAGACAGGATTTCTACCTTCCCTGAAATGTGAAGAAGAAAATGTATTTCTGTTCTCCCTGGGGAGAAATGGATGGCTACTCAGTTGGAGATGTGCTATTACTTTCCTCTTCTTTTTCCCAAGGAAACTGGGTATTTAATAACTGTTTTCATACAAGTCCTGACTCTGGTTAGTAAGAAACAAGTGGTTGCATGACACGAGCCCTGCTTCAGAATGCTGCTAAAGTCCATGACTGAATTTCTGGGTTGGGTTTCACATGAGTTTCCATGTGATGCACATCACCAGCACAACTGAGTACCTCTCAGTGGTGTATTAAAGCAACATGTTCAGTATTTCTCCCTCAGGGAGAGAAGAGATGATATGAAATATAGTCACAGAGTCACGGGACTGTTGTTCAGGTCTGGGTGCTTATTCCCTGGGGAGCACCAGGGAATGAGAGCCTTGTATTTGTCATAGAAAGTCTTGCTTGCACCAGATAAGTTCTTAACCAGAGAAGTCATCCATGATATTTTGTCCTACATGGCAGTGAAGGCCTTGGTGATAAGCACCAAGTAGTAAGTATAAAACCCAGTTGTCTGTGAGAGTAGCAAGAAGCAAAGCTGCTCGGATGGACTCTCCAGATCAGTGTTTCTGGCTCAGGGCTGCAGTCTGTTGCACTGGCTGGTCTTTCCAGAGTGTTTAAGGCATCATGTCTTTGCACTGCTTTGAAATCAGTGTCTCAGCTGTTTACAAAAGCCTTACATTTTTCGTTTTTTGCGGAAGAGAATTTCATGGGGATAAACTTGCCTGAATTGGCAGAGTCACACAGCAGCTTGTATCCGTAATGGAAATACAAAACAATTTTTGGCAATCTGGTGCTTAACTTCCTGACCTTTGGCTTCAGATTAGTTTGTACTGAGCTTGTCATACAGTTGTGGTTTTCTGTTCAAACTGTGATTTGAGTGACTCCCCTCCCCCAGCCTTAATGAAGATGTTTACCAGAGTTGCATCTGTCTGGTGTGACTTGCAGACTTGGTTTAGTGGAGGAAGGCCCAAGGCTGGCCTGCCAGAGGTGAGATAAATTGGGACTGAAATCCCCTGGGAGAGCCTGAGGTGTGAAAGCTGTTTTGCTGTGACTAGCTCTCATCAGTAATGATAACCCCTCAATTTTGTGCCACCTAAATTCACCCAAAATTATATGCTAAATATAAATATTCATTTTATAAATATGCATGTTAATTAAATATACATTTATTTTAAATGCATGTGTTAATTATACATGTTACATCAGATCACAATTAAGTCAATAGAAATTGGAGATTTGCATATAATCATCCTTGTATACTAATCAGTTGTCAGTCTAGAAAGCCATTTCCTGCATCTAGATAGAATATAGACCTTGGACCAGTGATCAGTTCAAAGATTGTTTAGCAGCGCCAGTTCTTTTGTTTTTATGGATTTTCTTCCTAGAAAAGAACAGGAAGAAACGTGACTCCTCCTTCTCAGTGCATAAAGGATGCCCTGTAGTTTTGTCATGTTTTACATTTCTACTTCCAGGTGCCCTGTAGAGTCCAGATTTTGGCTGGATGAGGTTACTCCTCTGATGTGTCAAAACCGTCGTAAACCTGCCACAGCAATTTTGTTTGATGTTTGATGCAAATTCAACCATTTTTCTTCTGCTGAGCTAATTAAATGTAACTTTGACCCTAGATCTTCTGGGAAAAACATGAGAAATTCCCCATGATGTACTTGGATAGTCATTGCCTTGTCCTGCCTGTTGATTTCTGCTGGCTCTGAGAGTTGGGGTGCATATTGCATTTACTGTATTAAAAGCCATTTAAGATCACCATGACTTTGATTCTATATCCATGTAAGTGAATCTGGACATTTATCCTGTTCATAAATGAATATATAAGCATCCCTGAGAAAACACTTGAGGGCTGAACTGTTCAGAAATCGGTGTTACTCTGCGAGTCTGGTTTCCCTGAAGCGTTTCTCTAATGGAAGCAGATGACATTTAGGACTCAGTTTTGCACAGGTGTATTCACTGGTACCAAACTTTACCACAGCAGTTGGTGTGTATCCAAGGCCATCCTTGTTCAGCAGTGCACTTCAGTCACCACACTGTACAGTGCCATCCAAGCCAAAGGAATCAAGTGGATGTGTTCTGGTCAAGGAATTTCTTCCTGACCTGAGATTCAGACATCAAAGAGGAGATGAACATCCAGCTCCTCATGGCTTTGGCAGTGGAACATGGCAGCATGTTATTTGGGAATAAGGACCCCACCCAGAGGAGCAGTTAGACTTGTTTTGAGCACCACCAAGGAACTTGGTTCATGGAAAGGAGTATATCCTAAGTCAAGATGGCTTTTGTGTCAGAACAGTTTTGTAACTCCTTTTGGGGGGTAATATGAGAAAGTGTTGTGGTGCTTTTTACCCCAGCATTCTCCTCACATGCTCACACCCTCTGGTCAGTGTCACAGATGGAACTGTGGTCAGTGCAGTGTCTCTGTGTGCTGTCACTGTCTTGTTGACTTTTCCTCCGAAGCTTTAAATTCACTTTTCCTTAGAAGCATTATCATTATAGAGTGCTATTCACTCTGAATATTTTTCAGATTAAAACCCATCAAGGTATTAAAACAAACCCTGTGAAAAGTAGCTATTTCAACAGTCATTTTAATCTTTAAAATATTCACTTTCAGGTATCCAGGACACCATTGATTGCTTGCTATATTATGTAAATTTACAGAATAAAATAGGTCAGTCTTCAAATTGTCTTCTTGTAAGGATGTAATTAAGCTGCATTAAGACAATTACTGTATTTTAAGTATCTACTGAATTTTTAAAAAAACAATGTAGTTTTAGGTTTTGACAGGGATATAATTTCCTATTTATTATGTTTTAATTAAAAACACTGGTAAATAGGATTAAAGCCAATTGTATGGTAATTTGACATAACTACTGCAATTCTGAAGTAACACAGTTAGTCTACAGTACAGCAGTAATAGAAGGGGGGATAGGGAAAGAAAAACTCAGCTGATTATTCAAATAAAAATTCTGGTAAATAGGAAGCCTGAATCAGATACCTCTGGATTCTGCTCATATTTGGGTCTGAATCTCTTCCCCATTAAAGGAATGGTGAGCTTGGTCTTAACTTTCAGAGTTCCGGAGATTTTGTAAGTGCTGGTGTAAATTTTTGAAGGTTGACTGTAGTTTTGATGCCAGAGGTGTGATTTTCATCTCAGTGTGTCCTAATGTGTTCTGGTCAAGGAATTTCTTCCTGACCTGAGATTCAGACATCAAAGAGGAGATGAACATCCAGCTCCTCATGGCTTTGGCAGTGGAACATGGCAGCATGTTATTTGGGAATAAGGACCCCACACAGTGTGTCTTTGTTTTGGCTTTTTGCAAATGTAAAAAGTCAGATGAACTGAAAAACTCAAGGACTAGAAGATGGAATCAACTTCAAGGTGACTCCTAAAGGTTCAAAAAGCATCTAGAACTTATACCCACCTTTCAGAAAGTCGTAGGTAGAAGTTGGTTACCTTGGCATGTCCAAAAGGTTAGGAAAGAGTAAGAGGAAAATCAAGAAAGCATGACACAAGTGTGGGTTGAAATGTTGTTCAGCATAGACACCACCAGCACTGTGGCAATAGAAGGAACAGACAAAAAATTTGCAAGATATCAAGTAAATTTTGGCCTTCCAAGGGTGTGTCAAATCCGTGGTCTTCAGCTGTATGATGACATGAAAAGGAGCTTCCCAATCTGTTCCATGCAAATTCCCAATACAATTATAAGTTTTTTTATGTCTAATTTAAGACCACTCTTTCTCTGTCCTAAGACCAGAAGCTGTGGAGAATAGATGATTCCTTCAGAATCAGCCCTTCAATGATACGCTTCTTGTGAGACCTCAGATTATCCTCCCTTTGGACAATTAGATTATATTTGTAAATATTGCTCATGTTTGCACAAGACCAACCTCATATCTTGTGGTGGCAACTTTTATTTTAAGGAAGGAAATACAATAGGCAAATTTGAAAGTTCCTTTGAAGCTCAAGGTGTTGTGGCTGCAAAGGAATTTACTCAAGTGAAGTGAAAGGGGATTAAAGCAACTGTAACCTGGCCAAAGAGAAGGCTGAAAAGGTTAAGGTGAAAGGGAGCTGCTTGGCTGGAGGGAACCCTTTAGATGTTATCCTCAGGGAGGGAATTTTTGGTTTGGTCATGTTTAATGTTTTCTTCAGAAGCTATAGGGTACAAACTGTCAAAACCTATTTTTGAAATTGCAAAGATAGAAGATGCACATCTCATCATAAAGAACTGGAGAACTTTGTAATTGAGGAAGGAGAAAAATGGGATAGTACTGTTGCATCAAATTTTAAGTCATGAGTATAAGAGGTAAAATAAACTTCTGCCACAAACAGGAGATGCTGCATTTGGACATACTGGTGGAATCAGACCTACATGTATTAAGTGTTCTTCTGATCACAAATTTATGGCCATTATTAATGGTTGTGTTTAACACAAGCCTGGGAAGTGTCATGTGAAATTTTTTGCTGTGGGAAAAACATGGGTGAAAACTTGTGTACTTACTGTTCGCTGTATTTGGTCATCCATGTTCAGGAAGGAAGAATTCAAACAGGAACACATGCAGAGAGGTGAAGGAGGAGAAGGAGAAGATTCCTTTTACATGGAAAAGCTACAACAGCCTATGTAGTTAGTCCAGTTAAAATCAAGGACATCTGACCACTTCATAACAAATAAGGTGAAGATTCAGGATAGGGAAAGAACTATTTATTATATAGGATAATAAGTATTAAGAATGAATAGCTGTTAATAGGCTAGGAATATGGTTTTTTCCTCCATGAAGTCTTCATGAAACATTTGCTCACCATGGGGCTCTGACAGGTGAAATGTCTTCTGAAATTTCCCATCTCCTCAAGGCTGCTGTGAGGAGTCAGCAGCTTTCTGCATCCACTTCCAGGTTCTAGACTTTTGGATGGGGGCATCCACTTGGAGCCCATTACCCTCTGCAAAGGGATTAAGTGACACATAAAACTGAAAGCAGCACCTGGAACTGAATTTGGCATTACACCAGAAAAGTGTTGTTCCCCCACATCTGATCTGCCAGCTCTGAGGACAGGCAGGTTCTAACCTGGTCACTGGGATGACCACTGGAACAGTGGAAGAAATTCTCTTCCCAGAAAGCCCTTACCTAAAGCATTTGCAGGATGAGCTGCAAAGAAGGGATTTAAGGGAAGCAAAACCTGAATACTGCTTGTCTGTCAATTTTACCCAATTTGCACTCATGAATACAGATTTTTTCTTTCCTTTTCTTGCAGCACAGGTGCACCCCTGCTGCACCAGGCATATTATTTCAGGCTGCTGTGAAGATGTGGCTGCCAGGATAAGGTCTTACAGTTAAATTGTACATCTCTATTGTACAACATACTTAATGTTCATATCTGCAGATATTCCTTTTTAATAATTATATACAGAATTATATGTACGTATTTACATTTAAAAAAAAAAAAAATCCAGCCAACTGCCCACTGTGTGTTTTGCCATTTTTGTCCTCTCCTGTCCTTCATTCCAAACATCCCCAGGACTCCAAGACAACATTTTAAAATAAACATTGGGCATTTAAGTAAGACTTCTCTGTAAGGAAAGGTATTGTGACTCTTACAATCTTAACACACTAATCCCTCACTGCGCCTTCCTGGAATAAACTAACTCTGTTTATTAATCTGAAATAAACAGCAGCAACATCTCTGGCACCATTGAAAAAATGAATGCTGCACGCTTTATTTTAAATGTAGTCAGTGGAAATTTTGCTATTTACCTAAACCCAGATCAGGTGAATAATTTAAGCATGAAGATGTGAGTTAATTGGTGGGTTTTTTTTTCTCCCATCTTAGTTTTACTTCATGGATATGGCTCATAAATTTGTATCCAGGTATGGAGTGAGATATATTTTGTTTAAACTTGTATTCCAGGCGTGTCCGTGGAGGTACCAAGTACCCTGTAATCATCTGGCATGTGTGGGAGTTGCAAGAGTTCAGTGCTGAGCAGAAAATCAGGCTCTTTGTGTTTTGAGACTGCTAATCCATTGCTAGGGTTTCCTTTTAAACCGAAAATAAACACAATGTGTGTGCTGTTAACTTAGACAGGTGCTAGAGCCGACAGCTCGAGGTTTAAGGGCAGGGGTCAAGCAATCAAAAGTGGTCCTCTCTTGCACAGATCATCAAACAGGGAGTGCATCAATGGGCTCAGTGGCCAAGGCTGGAAATTAATCAGCTCAGCCCTCAGTGTTTAGCCATGCTGATTATACACCGGCAAAGTGAGCAGGAGCTGACAGGCCAGGGGAGCCAATGTAATAGGACTTCGTTCCCAACAAAGGCAGGGAAGAAAGATCAATTTGCAATATTCTTTTCTGTACCCATGCAACAAAGCAGAAACATGAAAGCAGAACATTAAGGGATGCTCCCTATGAACTGGACAAATCAATAAACATCAGTGGTAAGGGGAGAAAAAAAAGTTTCTCGTTCTGTTGTGTACCCTGAGGCCTCTTCTGTCTTTGTGAAGCGCTGGGTAGCAGTGGCCTCTGTCATGTTTTCTTTCACCTACATGATGTCATCTGCTTCAGTCTCAAGGTGAGTGCTGGTTTGCACAATCAGAGCGAGTGTTTAAGGTAATTATTCCATCTCTTTGGGAAGAGAAGATAGGAAGTAGTACTCAGCAGAAGTTGCAGTGGCTGCTCCATACGTAGCTCCATTTCTGCATTAGAGCTGGGGCTAAAAACTGGGATTTGGTGCTTGCACCAGGTGAAAGGTTTCAGCAGTTTCAAAGATTTCAATTCAGAGCTCTTGAATAAGTACCAGTTGCCTTCATATGGAGAACCATATGCAAAATCTAGTTTGATGTATAGGAGTTTAACTTTTCTTGGAAAATTAATTCCCACAATCAGTAGTTGGAATAATCTTAGTAATCTGGGGAAGAAATAGAGAAAGATGGATCCAGTTGAGGACACAAATATTGAGTTCTAGTAGCATTTGGGAAAGGGAACTACAACTGAAAAGAAAAATGTTTAGTGCAGCCACAGCCAAATCTGGTGTTTGGCCAGTTATTTTATCATCTTAAATATTTGTCTGTGAGAGCCAAGCCTGTAAATGACAGTATTACCAGCAGTGTTACAGCTTTGCACTGACCACTTCCACCTGTATGTGAAATACCTTTTAGATGCATATTCAGTGTGTGCTGGTGGTGAAAGAATAGTTTTATTTTGGCTTCCTGGTGGCTTTGGTGGAGGAGTCCTGGCTGTCTTGGTACTTCGTTTTTAAAAGCAGATTGTGTAGAATTCTAAAGCACTCATGCAAGCATGTGATTCCTCCCTTTACAATAAAGCATGTGCTTTGGAGTGCACATTGTATGAACAGGCTGCTACCTGCTGGCAGGGAACTGGTGCTGACTGCAGGGCAGGTGAGGGCCTTGTCAACCTGGGTACAGCCTCCTTCCACCCAAGCAGGACAGATCTTATCTGAGGATAGTATCCATGGTGGGATCCAGCCCAGGTGCTGGTGGTGACAGTGGTAGCTGCAAAGTGTTTTGCTGATGAATGATGATAAACTATGAAACACTTTGGATTCAAGAAGATATTTGTGTTTGTCAGCAATTTTATTAAGTTAGTCTGTTATTTAAGAACTGTTTTCCCGAATTCCCAAATAGGGTAAGCCAACCTGACAGGTCCAGGCAGGAGGAATGCAGAGTGTGCCTTTTTAACACTACCCCCAAAACTCAGCAGATGCTAAAACTGAGCATTGGCAGCTCCTGCAAACAGGCTGTTTACTTGCAGAGCCAAAGCAGGTCATCACCAAGTTATATGTGATATTGTATGTCATGGCTAAGGCATGGGTGGGAAGTAGATATTCTTTTGGCTGACTATTTTCTGGCAGATTCACAGGGTGAATAAATTCAGAAAAGGTTATGAGAAGCCATTAGTTTCTGTCTCTTATCTGTGATTATGAAGTCCAGCAAAGGGGATGGGGGAGGAGTGGATACAGTTGCAGAAGCCAAACTTGTGCATTGGATGAGTGTCTGGTGAAGTACTAGAGACTCAAGGAGAGGTGCCTGGTGCTTGCGGGCTGGTGCTCGGGAATATAAATTGATGCGAGTTTTGTAGAACAGATCATCTTTATGTAAGCAAAGGAGCCACATGCTGAACTCAAATCTCTGGTATCCTGGTAAACAAGACAAAAGTTGTGTCGTTGCTGTGTTCCCTGAGGGAGCCCTGGGCTGCCTGGTCTTCCTGGGCGTTACTGTGGAGAGGCTGAGAAGAAACAACGACCTACAAAATGTAGCGAGTCTGGAAAATGATAAATCACTTAATAAATATTAGGGAAGGGGCTACTGAGAGAGGTGCAGGGGCGGGTGGGGTTCTTTTGTCATGCTGATGATCTCTTTATCATCAGCAGTGCTTAATCACAATGCTCCAGGGCTTGTTAGTCTTTTAAAAGATTCGATTCTAAGCAAGTTACTTTTGCACTCTTCAGAGACTATGCTGAGGTTCACATGGACTTCATACACAGGAAAATCCTTGTATTGTAACCTCTTTTGTTTCTCTGCGATGAGATTTCATGAGCCCAAGGGCTTTCAAGTAATCAGAGGACTACTGAGGACTTAAAATATTTAAGTTTGTTCAAGAAATATTATATTAAGATGTAAGAAATCATGCAAAATGAGCATATCCCAGGAAACAAATCTGCCTTGGGCATTGATTCTGGTTAGAGAATTGAAGTGTGGAGTTTTTTATTTATTTCTCTTGAGCATTCCATTTTGTGCCACCTGACTTAGTGCTTGTGATGATTATTTTTCTTGGGATAGCACACAGACACAGTATTTTGACATTTGTTGAGGGAGAATGTGAAGTGTTCAAAGGTTAGGTGGGATAGTTGAGGTGCCACCGCTGTAAGCAGAAAGCATGCAAGAGGCTTATGGCAGCAGGACCTTTCTGCTAAAATAATTAGCAACAGAATAATTAAACTTAAGATTTTTTTTTTAATATATTGTCATCTTCAAGGTTTAAGTGTCTGGAACGGAAAACCAGAGCTGCCATATGTGTTCTTCTTTAGGGACATCTTCACCATGAGAATGGTAGATGTTTTCTGTATTTAAATAAAATAAGTTTTCCTTTAAGGTAGCTTCAGGAGTTCTGTTTATTTTTCCAACTTGATTAAAGCTGGATAGAGGAAAAAAATATTACATAAATTTCCCCAGTTTTAGTTTGTATAAGCTAAAAAGTTTTAAGTCATATCTGAATACAGGTGTTGAAAACTTAATGTCACCTGGATGGACTTGAAAATGCTACCTTGTCTTTTCAAATAATGAAAATCTTGTCAATTGACAAGAACATTTTGGATGTGCATGTAGGTAAAAATGGAACAGGAATAACAGCTGATCTGTCTGACCTAACAAAAGTGTTCAGAATTTTTAAACAGATATATGTTACCAACAGTTTCCATTGTGCAACAACCACAGCCTACTGAAAAATCTGTATTTCTTGTCATCAGAAAGACCATTATTTCATTATTTAATTTCAATTAAATATTGCTGGTTTACCCTTGGAGTGCTATTCCACTTTGGGCAGATATCTAGAGGCTTGTAGATATTTTGGCTGTTAGAATGGTGATGGAACTGAGATTAAATTTGAGGAGAGGATGTTAGCGACTGCAGAGGAGGGACTGCAGAGGAGGGAAAGGGTCTAGAAAGAAATGAGAGGAAATGGACTAAAAGTCAGTGGTTTCTGCTACCTGAGTTCATCATGCTCAATCATTTCCTGAATTAGCATCCTTCCTGCTAAACTTCTCCTAAATTAAGATATGGAAAAGAAATGACTGCAGGAGGAAATGCCTCAAAGGGTATGAATGGCCACCTGCCTCCTCCAAAAGTCAGAGGTGGTGCTGGGGATTCTGTGTCCCCTTTATGTGGATGCTGCTCCTCACTTATCTGGGGTTGTCACACTGACAATCTGTATAAGATCTGGTTTGAAATTGATGTTGTGGTTTTTTTTTGTTTTTTTTTTTTCTCCTTTCTGTTCTCTGGTGTAAACCTAAAGTGTGCCATGAGTTTTGAAAATCCTATGGAACATAAGAAACTTTCTGCTCAACACACTTGATTTTCTTAAGTTGTGTGTGGAATTTGTTGTTGTTATTGTGGGTATGGGTTTTTTGTTGAGTTTTTTTGCCTCTCAGAGTTAAAGTTGGTCATTGTATTTTCTGTGGAATGCTGTAACATTTGCATTTGGTCATCAAGAAATGCTTTGTGAGTGTTTTTGTTGAGTATTCATTCTGGGTCTTGCGAATATACCAATGCTAAATGCTGAAATATCAACAAAAGTTGGAAAGCAAATCTGATCTAGCTGATGTTAAATGAC